CATTCCTAGAGAGATGCCAAACTGACCCACGCAAGTCAAAACTCTGACCAACCAGGACTTTGCTGTGCAAAATATCTCTGACTCAACAATCCACAAGCATACTATCTCTCTCAGAAACGCTATCTAAATATCACTTACGATACTTTAAAAAGTGACATTTTTCTCTCTACTTAGTAAGTATTAGTAAACAAGCAATCAAATTCTCACACAACTAAAGGTACGCAACTCCTACCAATTCTGAACAATAATACAAACAAACTTACGTACACACAAAAACTGAACTATCACAAAGGACAATTTCGTACGTAACTGGACACTTAGTTTAATTTTGTGAACAAATCTGAATAGCAATTGCAAACACTTTCAAACATTCACAATAATATTCTACGCAACCAAATACATCTCTTCTCATTTATTCATCAAAGTTCAACTCAATTGTATTCTTGAATTGTATATAAACCAATGTTATTGTTGTACATTTAATGTTTGTCTTTGCTTTCAACCTTCTTGCATGATTTGTTTCTAATATTTTTCTTTAATTGTTGTGGACGAATGTTTTAGAAGACCAACACTAAAAATCCTTCTGATCACTCAAAATACATTCGCCAGTCTGCAACAAGTCAGTTCTGTGCCATAGATGATACATGCTTAAGCGATCATGTATTTGTAAAAGTAGCACAAAGCATGAGGAGCAGTACAAGGAACTGACCATTTTTCCAGCATCTTTAGCAATGGATCATATGTAAAAGTTCTAGTTGAGGTCTGGGTTGAAATATGTCCCAATAGGTGTTCAAGGCACATACGTTCATTGCGATATGCAAAAATTTAGGACTCACTCAATAATGATGGAATATCATTCATTAGTTTGGTTTTTGAGGCATTGAATGTGATCAGCCAGTTCTCCCCCCCCCCACCCCTGATCTGTTAGAGCTAGGTCAGAGAAGAGATCAGCTGTCAAGCTCTGGTCATCTAGAATTTTGGAGGTGCAGTCATATACCATTGTATCATCAGCATAGATATTCTTAAAATATCTGAGTATACTCTTAGGCAGATCATTTGTGCAAAGTAGAAAAAAGGTTGAAGGTGAGCTACACCAGGAATAGCTTTTAGGGCTTCTGATCTTAATTGACTTACGTCCGAATAAGTGTTCAAAACAAAGGGCCATCTTGAGTAAACACCCATTCACTGTGATTGACAAAAATTAAGTGAGTGCTAAATGAAGATATCCATCAAGAATATCCAGCTTTATTTTTGTGATAATTACATTTTAAATTAAAGTAGTAGTATTTATTTTTCAGTAGCCTAACGCCACTACTGAATGTGACACAAGGTCAAGTTTTAAAGTGGGTTTGACAGCAATACCATGGAAAAATTGCCCAAGTCCCCTCAGTGTTTCCCCTTTTCGGGACACCTCAGGCACTGGGCAATAAACCCATCTCTCTCCCAAGGGAGAGGTACTGCTTGGGTTGGGGGAAGGCTGCCTGGGACTTAGGCTTAATATTTTTTTTAAACTCCCTCACATAGGCTTTCACCAGTAAAAATGTCCTGTTGCTCCACCAGGAATAGCTTTCAGGGCTTCTGATCTTAATTGACTGAATTTGGTAAAATGTACAGGTTTTGTCTTGGTAAATTAAGATGGGTTACAGTAAATATCCAATTCAGTACCATAAATTTGCTTGTCAGTTGCCTGATCTTGACCAGTTGTGCATGTTCTCTCAGAGTTGATGCACTGTGCATCTCTGTTCATGAGCTGGAGTAGTGTGTGAGCATCATGGCCAGGTGTCAAAAGGATTTTTTTTAAAGTTTGAGGAATGGTGTAGCTAATACATTAGCTATATATATATATATATATATATATATATATATATTAGGTGATTTATCTCCCTTGGTCAACTGCGCTTTCTAGAGATCACATACATCTTTTCAACCAACCAATCACTAGCCAGAATATGTTGATGCCAATTATCAAAGAACATTATTCCCTTCTGCTTCTTTTCTCTTTCCTGCTGAGGTCTGCAAGGGACAGGACGTTAAAATCATCTCTACTTCAATCTCAGCAGTCATGACATGAGAGCTGTACTAACAATATGAATACGTAAAATATTCTACTACAATACCAAGGACTTCAGTCAATTGAACTTATAGTGTTTCATTATATAATATATAGCCTCAAACAGAACAATTTGTTTGCAACAAGAACTATTATTTCAAACAGTATCTGTATAAATGAATAATATTGCTTTAAACTTTCTATTTGTGTTCTGCATTCTTCCTGTATTAAGATTTGTGGCCTAAATTGACATACCAAGGCAACTTGGAAGTCACATCAAGATACTTAGGAAGACACTCAGTCAGAGACCATCTTGGCAGACTGGGTTATCCAACCTAAAGGTATTTTCAACTAGACTTTACCTGCAAATTTATGCAATCCTTTTACTTACACCCATCATGCATAGTTTGTAGCAGACTTCATATAAGCTTACTATCTGCTACAAAGAAC